TTTATGACATTAATCAGAGGCACAATGATCGTATGATGTTCCGAGAGATTTTATTGACGTACTTCTCATGCATTGCATTCATTTATACATGTACATTGACCCATGACCAGATGACATTATATACGGGTATATATATGTATATTATATGTATATGGGATACAGGAAAAGGATATGGCATTATATATGCACCACCACCTGATCAGCTGGTATACGTTGATGATTTGCCCACAGTGGCCGAAATAATATGATGGGATGCCCTCAGAGGATTGATGATGTTATAAACACATATACCTATGCATGATATGACATTTATACGCATATGCATTACATTATAAAAATGAAATGATTCACACAGCTATGCAGACGTACATGTCGAGTCTTTTACTATATGTTTCTCTCATATCTATTATTTACTGATTTTCATTTCTTATATACTCGGTACATTATTTGTACTGATGTCCCTTTTGCCCGGGGATGCTGTGTTTCATGCCCGCAGGTCCCGATAGACAGATCGAGAGTCCTCCAAGTAGGCTATCAGCTCAGCGGAAGATGTTGGTGCGCTCCATTTGCTTCGGAGCTGCTTGTTTGCTCAGTATGATTTAGACGTATATTGTTTGGTATGACGGGGCTCTGTCCCGACCTTTATGACAATTATGTATTCTTAGAGTTTTGTAGACATATATCATGTACGTAAAAGATTGTATGGCTTTGTCGGCCTATGTTCAGTGTACGAGTGGTTATTTTGGTCTTAGAGCCTCATATATCTTATGTATAAGTTGGTATTACATGTTGTATTCTACCTATCTCACGGCAGCCTCTCCGACTCAGTTATCTATGATAGTATGATACAAAAAGATACGTTATGTTATTACTCAGTTGAGTAAGGTACCGGATCCCCATCGCGGCCCATCGGTTTGGGTCGTAATATGGATCCTCGAAAGTAGAGGCCCTTTTCCTCTTATGGTCCTTCGTCGGTTTCGGGACCTGGGCCGGCGTCTCTTCCTCACCAGACGGGGGCCTCAAAACCGCATCTTTATCCAGGCCTACACACTAGAAAATTGGTTAAGTATATGAAAAATATTTCGGTCGGACTATCAAAGACTTAAAAATAAAAGCTTACCATGATTTTTGGCCTCCCATCGACCTTTTGACAAATCACCCCACGAGCGCTCGGCATATGTAGAGGTCGAAGCTAGGTCCCGTACCCAGCTCTTAAGGTTAGGAATTGCACCGGGTATCCAACGAACCGCTGCATCGCAAAATGGGATATCGACGAGAAAGAAATGAAGGGGCAAAACAACAGGAGATAACAACAGAAGTATACTTATGCTTCATGTTCCATTCCTCCGGAAATGGCATGTTCTCGGCCAGAATTAGTTCCAAAGTCTTCACTCGAACGAACCTACCCATCCGGCCTTGATCATTGTCCTCATCGATGCTCGAGAATAGCACATTGATAGCCCGGCGCTGGAGTTTTATTAACCCGCCTCGAAAGAGGCGGGGGCTGTACAATCTAATAAGATGGTCGAGGGTGAAAGGCATCCCCTCGATTTTGTTCAAAAAGAAGCATATCAGAATAACGATCCGCCAAAAAGAATGATGGATTTGCCTAGGGTTATTATGTATTGACGACAAAAATCGATGACAACATGGTCGAGGTTGCTTAACGTGAAAGAGTAGGTATACATACTTAAAAATCCTTTCATATGGGTAGTAATATCTTCCTCGGGAGCCGGGATTACCACTTCTTTGTTCTTCCAGTTGCAATATCTCCATATATGTTCGAGATGCCCCTCGGTTATCGAGCACATATACCTTGATATTGGCTCGTATCGACCGGGAACCGACGAGCCTTTGTCGATCTTAAAATCGGAGGTAAGAACACACGCCCCGGGAACACACTCCTCAGGCCTTGGCTCCACCGGTATTTTATCGACGGCAGGCTGTGAAGTAGAAGCTTTTTTTTTTTTAGGAACGATTTTAGATGTTTTCGCCATTTTTGATTTAGAGATGGAAAATGGAAGGAGATGACAAAATGTGGTGTTTTGAAGAAAGATTTTGTAGTGAAAATCACAGAAGAAAGATATTTGCAGAAAAATCACAGACTTACAGATGAACTCAGAAGTTACGAGAAAGAGCTTAGAAAATTTTGGAAGTTGGAGGCGTAAAAGTAGTAAATGGTAAAAAGGGGGCTATTTATAGATTGAGCAACGGCGATTCAATATCAGCAGTGGCCGACCAGTGCCTGACACGCATGTAATGCCTTGGTAAACTGAACCGACGGGACAACTATCACGTACGTCATAGTCGGGCTCGATGCAAACGTTAATGTATATATTATCGAGCCGTTGAAAAATCATATCGTTTCTCGCCACATCCTTCCCGAGAAACGAGGGGACTATCTGTATACGGTTAAAATCGTTTTTAACCTTCGTACGATCGGTGAAGACGGGTCGAAGAGCGTCTTCATAATATCGAGGTGAGATTTGAAGAAGGCACGAATGAGCTTCGAGTTTCGGGGTCAGATTAAATACCGAGCTCGACTTCATTATCGAACTCGAGTCCAAATCGAGCTATGATGAGAAGCGATATTATCAAGTTTCAGAGCCAGAGACCAGCCGACTCCGAGCCCGAATCAATACAGGGCCCCGAGTCGGTATCGAGCTCAAACCCGCATCGAGCTCTAAACCTGGAAACCGACCAATACCGAGTCCAATTAAGATCGAGCCAAGAGACAAAAGCTGTTAAAGTCGCACTAAGAGAGAGAATCTCAGCGAAAATTAGGGAAAAACTAATTTATCATGGGTTTTCCACTATGTATTTTTTATGATATCTAAAGTAGGATCCCTCCACTATAAGAGGGAGGGCTATTATTTCTGTAAGGGGATCACGTTATCAATATATTGTAACTCAAATACTATTGAGACATTCTCATATTAAGAGATTATCCTTTTTAGCTTGTTCATAAATCATCTTCCTTTCAACTCGGTTTGTATCTTTTCTTCATAGTCAATATTCGATATTTCTACTTACTCTTTACGATTTGTGTCAAGTTATACCACATACCCTTAGAACTACGTACAAATTCAACTCTATCCATTTTCCGGGTAAACAAAAATATTGGGGTATTATAGTTGTTTTCTTCCTTCTCTAGCCTAACCCAGGCTCTGGCAAGTGTTAAATAAATTTCTCTTTTTCCTTTTTTTTTTAATTTGAAAACATATCGAGATTTAGAATCAATATATTCGGAGTGAATTTGACTTACTATAAGTAAATGTTTTATATTATTTATGTCTATAACTTGAATCGAACATAGTAACTACAAATGCATAGCGTGTATATCTATGATCTATCCATGTCATATTATACTTGTAAGTAGATTTTTTTCTTATGTTTTTTCTTCTTCTTCTTCTACGTAAACTACAACTAGTAGTCCTCCCACCAAGTCGTCTCAATTATTTTTCTAATGTTATAATGGCCTACATTTCTGGATAAGCTTGTAGAATTATACGAATTAATTATTAGTGTTTGAGTTATCTAAATTTTCTCTTTGTTCTTTTCTTGATAGGCCATTGAGCGCCGCGTTGATATATTTTTTTCATTGCATTATTATATCAGCAAAGCATAGATTAATCTTTTTACTCCTATTCGTCTTTTTCTTCATATCCTGTGTAATTATTTCTCTCTCTTGCTACTTAGATTTGAAAGTATTTGCATATTTAAAAAGGGTCATGTTTGATGTGTTATTATATTAGCATAAGCTAGGTCAGCTAATATATAATTAAAATGAGAGTGCTATATTTTGAAAAAAAAAAATCATCGGTAAGTTGGAAAAAAGAAGAAGGTGGTGTGAATGCGTTTCATAGTAGGAATTCAATGCCTAAATTTCTATTGCAGAAATACTACATTAAGGGGTCAATTTGACTACCGAGATAAGAATATTAATCATAATAAAAAATATAATATTATAAATATCTCATGTTTGATTGTAGGTATTAGTTAATATCAGTATAAAACTTATATTCAAAATAGTGGTATTAGCTATCTTATATATGAGATGGGATAGATAATCTCATGGGATTGCAGAATTATAATCCCATGGAATATTCCAAAACTGAACCAAACAACCCTTAAGGATTTGTGTTGTGCAAATCAACAGGCTGAGTTTTCTTATATTATCACTGTAATCGACATGTAATAACACAGTAGTTACATTTTAATCAGATTTTTGTTGGTAACACTAACGCAGATTTGTTCAGCGGCGTACTTGTTTAAATTTTGCAGCAAAAAATCACTTCCTCTGGAGGCTGGATTGGGAACACCCACTTGGGGTGGCATATATCAGTATTTAAATTTTTAGATAATTTATTGAATTCAAATCATTAAAAATCATATTATACTCACATAATTCCCAATTTTCACACATTATTACTACTGCCTCTGTGATTCTGCCCTTTTCCGAACCCTATAAATAAGGAAAATTTAGTATATGGGGCTGCCTTTTACTTTCATATGAAATGATACAGAAGAAGTTTATTTGACAAAGACGCCCATGGACCATAGCAAGTCCACGTTAAACACAAGAGAAACGAACAGGACAAAGACAAAAAAGAAAGAAAAAAGATAGACCAAAAGTTTTACCCGGGACCAGTAATGGCAAAGTGAATAAAAGAAAACGATTATCTATTAAAAAATTAATTGGATAATAAATCACTTAGAAAATGGACAAACAGGGAATAAATAATGAATTTAATTTTTATATTTATAACACTTTAAATTGGGGTTTTCCAAGTTAGAGAAACTATTAATTCTCCTAAAAGATCAAAAATGATCATATTCAAGAAGTCATGAATAATACAAATATCAATATTATCCGCCGATTAATTTATTTTTATTCATATTTATATATTAAATATGAATAGATTTTTTCGCGACCGGTTTGACACCCGACCTGGTACCCTTGTTATGCCAAGTACATTACAGCCACTGTCTACAGTAATGTACTTTACTTTCTTAATTTAGCTACTGTTGTCATAGTCATAACTATTTTCATTCTATCTTCCGAATCTCTTCAATTATAGCTGTTTAATTCCCTCTTTCTTTGTCTGAAAACAATTAACATCAACATAAATTCTATCACCCTTTCTTTTGTTGTCTAAATATCAAACAATTTCCTTATTCTTGATCTAATAGTTCAAGGATTCAAGAATTGTAAAGGGGTTGACTTAAAAATGAGTTCAGAAGAGAATAATGAAGATGGGAGAGGAGGAGGAGATCTGAGGAAGCCATTTTTACATACTGGAAGTTGGTATCGTATGGGCTCAAGGCAATCCAGTTTGATGGGCTCTTCTCAAGTTATCAGAGATAGCTCTATCTCTGTTCTTGCTTGTGTTCTCATCGTTGCTTTGGGCCCAATTCAGTTTGGTTTTACTGTATTGACATTTCTAATCTCTCAACTCTTTCTTATTCAAGTTCTTTACTTTGTTTTTTATACTATTTGAAACTTCCAGTATGATGCAAAAAGATTAAATTTTTGAATGAAAATGACTTCTTTAGCTTCTTTTATTGTGTAGTGGAATTACAATTTGGGTGAAAGGTTGCATCTTTATTGCCTTATTGGTATTACAATTTGCTATGTCATTCTAATTACTCATAGTTCTCTCATTCAAATTCTTGTCTTTGATTGTGTTGTTAAAGACATGATTAAGTAAATAAAAATGTGCTCTCTCCGGCAGTTTAAGTTCTTAGATGAGATGATGACACTATTTAACATTTGCGACGTGTTTGTTTACCTTCCTAATACACAATGACAATCCTCAAATTTGGTGGAAGATGTTACTTTTCTTGTGGTCAAAGGATCACAATAGGTTAAAGGTTGCATCTTTATAGATTACAGCTTATTATGTCATTTTTAGAACCTGAATTTCTGGAGTTGAAATTTCCTTTTTGTGCCTGCACTTGCTTGGTTGGCCTACCTGATTTATGTTGTTGCAATGGATATTTGCATATGTGTCTCTAGTTGATTAATTGTTGTTTTTGTTGTATTTGAAGTGTGGCTACTCTTCGCCTACGCAAACTGCAATTATGAAAGATCTGAAGCTCACTGTTTCTGAGGTCCGGAAAAGCCATTCTTGCTTTCTATTTTAATTCGGTTTGTTTAGAGCTATTGTTGACTAAAGTTGATCTTTTCAGTTCTCTGTGTTCGGTTCTTTATCAAATGTGGGTGCTATGGTTGGTGCAATATCTAGTGGTCAAATTTCGGAATACATTGGGCGAAAAGGGGTAAGAGATTATTGCATCAAATAAGATTCTTGTTTTTTATTTACTATATTTCTGTGTATTTCCCTTTATTGCTCAAGTGGATTCTCAACTCCTTTTTTGTCCTACTGCAGTCCTTAATGATAGCTGCTTTACCTAATATCATTGGTTGGCTTTCCATCTCATTTGCCAAAGTAAGACATTCTACTCAAAGTGTATGATATGATGCCTCGATAACCTATATTGACATGTATGTGCTTGTATCTCCCATTTATTTGCCCTTCCGATATGGTTCAGGATCCTTCCTTTCTGTACATGGGAAGATTGTTGGAAGGCTTTGGTGTCGGAATAATCTCCTATGTGGTACTATTAAGTTTCTTAAATCTTTTCTAGTTACAGTCATTTAACATACCGACATTGTCAAAACTTAATGCTTTAGCTTCCTGCCTTTTGATTTTTTTTAGGTTCCTGTATATATTGCCNCTTTACTTATCAAAAAAAAAAATGTTGCTTGATGGTGTCTGCTCATATACAAAAATTAATCTATAGCTAAGGAAAAAAGAACTCACAGCTAGATGCAGGGGCCTGATTGAGTCAACTAAATACATTCAGTAAGATGGTTGATGCTCTTCTTTTGTTTTATTATTAACATGTGCTACATCTGTCAAATGAGATAGCACCTCAAAATTTAAGAGGGGGTCTAGGGTCTGTTAACCAGGTTCGCTGAGTTAGTCACTTACTTTCCTTTAAAGAAAAGTTCTTACGCGTGATAAATTAATCACATGCGTCTTTTCTATCTTGATGTAGCTCTCTGTTACAATTGGGATCATGTTGGCCTATTTACTGGGACTTTTTGTTAATTGGAGGGTGCTTGCTGTTCTTGGTAATGATCATTCCTCTTGAAACCTCTTGTTAATGCTACGTTGTACAGTTATGAAGTCACATTATCTTTTAATGAGCTGGCATATGACCGGGCAGAGCCACAGAGACCTATGGAATTGTTCAATTACGCTTGAACTAAATACTAATTTCTCTTATAGGAACATTGCCTTGCCTAGCACTGATACCTGGACTATTTTTCATCCCCGAATCTCCTCGGTGGTTGGTGAGCTCCATTATATATATATATTTTGCATGATTCCTTTGAGGCTTTAGTTGCTGTTTGCCTCATTTGAATTTCTGTGTGAAACATAGGCCAAAATGGGTTTAACAGAAGATTTTGAAACTTCATTACAAGTTCTTCGAGGGTTTGATGCTGACATTACCAATGAAGTAAATGAAATTAAGGTAAATTATCATATAAAGAAGTTTTGCTATACTAGTTCTCTGAAAAAATGTTATTGCTACACATGCAATTCCATATAGAACTTGTTGCTAAATTTGTATTTAATAGTATAGTGTTTTTTTTTTTGTGTGTGTAGAGGTCTGTAGCATCAACAAGCCGAAGAACAACAATGCGTTTTGCAGATCTCAAACAAAGAAGATATTGGTTACCTCTCATGGTATTTTGACGTCTTATGCTGTCATTGAAGTTTCTTTGTTCTATGCCCCTGTGTTTATCAATCTTTTTAATGTTTCACCTTTAGGTAGGAATTGTGCTACTTATCCTGCAGCAGTTAGGAGGAATCAATGGTGTGATATTCTATTCCAGCAACATTTTCCTATCTGCTGGTACGTAGATATCATTAAACAAACAATTGTATTGTCATCTGTTAAATATGGAAGTAGCTGTAGCATTTGCCTCCTCAAAAAGAAGTGTCATGTTATGTCTGCCGCGTATCATCTATTTCTTTGACATGATCCGCTGCTGGCAAAACTGAATTGTGCTAGATAATACCTCATGAGTACCCTTGAAATAAACTAATTGACTAAGATCGACCTTTTACCTCGTACGCCGGTCCTTCATTTATTTACATCTCTTATGGTCTACAACTTTTTTTATGTGATATAAGTCTCTAATTTAGCTGCCTCAATTTGACAGGTATTTCTTCAAGTAATGCTGCAACTTTTGGTGTTGGTGCTATTCAGGTCCGGCTTCTAAATATTTTTGTCTCTCTTATTTAATTTCCAAGTATGCATATTATTCAGAAAGGAACGGAAAGTTTTCTATTTATGTGTAGCGCTTGCTTGCATTGCTTTTCTGCAGTCAAATTTAATCACTCCGTCATATTATTCATGTAGGTTGTTGCCACTGCAGTTGCAACATGGCTGGTAGATAAAACTGGACGTAGACTTTTATTAATTGTAAGTTTTATAAAAGTCATAACTTATATGCATAGTTTTCTAGCTTTTGTTAAATTACACGGGAAATTCTTTTTGTAGGTCTCATCTACTGGAATGGCTGTTAGTCTCCTAATTGTTGCCGTTTCCTTCTATCTGAAGGTAATTTTGTGGAATAAGTTGCTTTTTGCGTGAAGAAATGAAACTTGAACTGCACTTATCATCTTTCTCATCGTTTGTTATCTTTTGTATTTGATCAGGGTTTTGTATCTGAGGACTCCACCCTCTATGGCGTATTGGGAATATTATCAGTAGTAGGGGTGGTGGTACGTACCCTTCTCGATGTGGACGTCATTCTCTCTTTAAAAGACATGCTTAAAGTAACATATTTTCATTTTTCTAACCAACTTCTCGTTTCAGCTCATGATTATTTCGTTCTCACTCGGAATGGGCCCGATTCCATGGCTTATAATGTCTGAGGTACTTATTTTTTCATTTATCTTGTAACGCTAAATTTCAGCTTGGTATTGAGTTCTCATAGTACCCGCTTCTGAGAACTATATAGTCTGTTGTACTAGACAATTTCTGAGCAATTGAAGTCGGTCCAATTATCTAGGATACTGATCTGGAATGACATGGACGACTGTTGATGGAAATTTTCGTGCTTGCCTTTACGTTGTTAATATATATATTTTTAACTTATTACGTGCATCTGTTATTTTAGATTCTTCCGGTCAAGATCAAAGGCCTCGCTGGAAGTACAGCAACATTAGCCAACTGGTTGTTTTCGTGGGTAATAACAGTGACTGCACCGCTGCTTATGGCTTGGAGCAGTGGAGGTATATCTTTCTCTCCGGCTTACACCACATGTACCTCTTTGTATGCGTATTAGTATAACATCCATCTCTGCTATGTGGCCACGGACATGTATAGGCATTTTGGTCCGCGTAGCATGATACGATTCCCCCATTATGAATACGTGTATTGAAAAGCTTCGGCATTTTCATATGGACTTTTAGAACATGATCATATTGGTAGACCTGAACTGACTCAGGGGTCGCTTGGTATGATGGATAAGCAAAAATAATTCTGGAATAAAAATTTAGTACAAGCTTATCCCTTGTTTGGTTACTAATCCTGGGATATGTTATCCCAGGATTAAAAATAGTACGGAGATAACTTATTCCGCCCAAGGGTGGAATAGTAATCGCAGGGTAAACCAGTAAAATTGACAATCCCAGGATTAATACAACATACCAAACAGTCTATAAAAAATAATACTAGGATAACTAATCCCAACATAACTTATCTTCAACCAAACGACCCCTTAATGTATGTACATATTTTATCAGGAACCTTCACCATTTACATGGTTATGTGTGCTTTCACCGTGGCGTTCGTGGCAATTTGGGTACCGGAGACGAAAGGGAGAACTCTGGAGGAGATTCAGTTTTCCTTCAGATGAAGAATCTTTATTTTCTCACTGTTCTTTTTACTCCCTTGTTTCTCCTTGGTTCTTTTTGTCAACAATATATATTTCCTTTGTGCAAAAGTTTCTATTTTTGGACATGTATAGGAAAAGCTTGTGTGCATTTCAACTTGAGCTTATCAGCCCTTTAAGAATTGTTTTCTTTTGCCGTATTTCTTGTTTGCTTGTTGCTGCAGCTGTAATTTATTAGTATGATTCTTTTTTTTTTTGTATATTATAAGGGTGATTATTTCATTCGATTTAAATAATGTGCAAAAAAGGAAAATTTATCCTTCAATTCAGGTGTATTTGTAATCTAACTTTTTTCCTGATAAGCTTTTGTCCTAATGTATGTATGTGAAAAAGTTTGTGGTTGCTGTTTCTTTGAACTTGTATTGCTCTTTTCCAGGGCCTTTTTTTTTTTTTTTACCATATGAGATGCTGCCACTAATCATCTATGATTTTCCCGAAAAAGAAAATCAGAAATACTTTAAACAATACAAATCTATGAGTTTTAGTGGTTAATTTTATTCCATAATAGAATTTCACACTAAAAATAAGATGCTTGGACTGTTCTAAAATTATGTTACTCTTTTTCTTAGAGTGAATTTTTTCATACTATCACCAAAGGATATGGTTGGATTAATAAGATTCATCTATATTTAATTTGCAGAGGCGGATTAAGGATTTAAATCATATGGATTAAACTTTTAAAGTTTTTGTGCATTGAACTCATTATATTTTTAATATATTTTTAAAGTTATGAGTTCATATCTACTATTTTTGCAATTTTAATGAATTTTTACATATAAATTTTTACTCCACGTTGAAAGTTATGGGTTCAATTGAACCCGTCGGTAACATACGATATTGCCTTCATTGCTGCTCCCCCAGTAGACATTGATGGTATTCGTGAACCTGTTTCAGGGTCTCTACTTTACGGAAACAATAGTATTTCCGGTGCCATTATTCCTACTTTTACAGCTATAGGTTTATATATTTACCCAATCTGGGAAGCGGCATCCGTTGATGAATGGGTTATACAACGGTGGTCCTTATGAACTAAGGGGTCGTTGGGTTCATGGGATAAGGTGGGATACAGTGGTATTTTGGGATTAAATTTAACCATGTTTGGTTTGAGTTATTAATTAAACCCGGTATAAAATTATATCACAAATTGGGATTAAATTATCCCACCTCCTAGGTGGGATTAGTTATCCTGGGATAAAGTTATAAAATGATCAGATTATCCTTCTTCCCTTTCCACTGCAACCTTTCTGAGGCTTAATCAGATTCTGCATTTTTGAGGACTTGATTTCCCGTGCACAGCTAGTGTTGAGGCTTCACTTTGTCATCCTAATATGCACTGTTATCATCTTGATTCTAGTTTACATGTGTAGTGAAGGATTTTCTAAGCCACTAAAATATTCAAGGTTAAGACTGGAAACAAAAATTTATCCAGCTTTAAAATACACACATATTTTGGATTATATATTGTATATTCCATTTTTTATCCAGTGTACCAAACGAAGTATATAGCACTAAATAATTCCGGTATTATTAATCCCAAGATTATAATCACAGGATAACCTTGTCCACGAACCAAACGATCCCTTATTGTTCTACACTTCTTACTTGGCATAGCGATATCCGTCCCTGTTAATTAGTGGTTTCGTTTTGAGTCCTAAAAATGAAAAAATTCTTGACAAGAAGCCTTCTCCCTTAAATGGTCTTACGCATCACAAATTTGTATTAGTTAGGAGTGGATGCGGATTCTAGATACCAGATAATTAAACAGAAAAAAGAACACTATAGTTTTTCCATATAGATTGAAGGACACATTTATCCTTCCTCATATAATTTTAATTCAGGAGTTTTCCACGTTTGTCTGCTGTTTACCAGTCGTTTTCATGATGATATATTCAAAATCCCTTGGCAATAAGTCGTCAGAAACTAAGATTAGGTAATGAAATAATAAAACACGAAACCTACTTGCTTTGCCTTGTTGACGCTGTTGTTTTTTTCTTTTTCCAAATTGTCCTTCTCGATTCATAAGCGCCAAATGCAATCAACAGTACCAGCATAGTTATTTATTCCAAACCATTATTAGAATTGAAAAGCCAAAAGACTAAATAACGAAACTGTGATACTTTTCGAAAGTTAAGCGGCCCCATGAATTCTCTTTTCCTTTTTGTGTGTGTATGTGGCTCTAGAAAGAATGTCTGAGAAACACCATCCTGAATTTTCTGCCCTTTTAGGATATAGAAAGCCAATTTTGGATTTCCCATTCTTCTATAACCAGACAGAGAAATTAAAGTGGGGGCAGGCCACGAGTTCTAAAAATCTATGTGCGGTTTGCAATTGTCATAAGATAATGTGAAATTACAAGCTTATAACCATTTGCAATCACATTACCCCATGAGATGATTTCATCTACATTGAGTCATGAACTCATAATTGCTTACTACTCAAAGCAATTATGGATAGAAAATAAGTACCCTCGTCTATTCATTTTATTGACAGTATTTGACTGGACACGATTTTTTTTAAAAAAAAGATTATTGGCACATACCATAAGTATTATTTGAACTTATAGTTTAAACATATGCTATAATATGACTATAAGAGCATGTCATTAAAGGGTAAAACAAAAAGTTTAAAAAGTGTTAGTATTTCCTTTTGAAATACTACCGAAAATGAAGCATTGACAAAATGAAAGAGTAATTGTTAATCCTTCAGACGCTCATTCTACATGAATCAAATGCACGAGCAAAGAAATTTCGAGCGAAGAATAACTAAGAGGACCTTTATGCAAAGAAACTTGGACGAATCTACTTCTGTCACTGCTACCTCATTAAGCAAGGAATCCAAGCTTTTCAACAATCGTTACAATCCATCCACATAAAAATGTCCCCTCCCTCAACGAATCTTCCCACATGCAGAAAATGAATCAATATCGTTGCATCCAAATTAGGTTCCCAGCCTTACTATAGTAAGACAGCAAATGAACAACCAGCAAAACTAGAGGCGAGGCGAAGCTTCCACATAGAAACCCGTGGGTACAAAATTTAATGAAAAAATTGTACATGTACGTACGTGCAGGACAAAATTGTAACTGTTGTTTACAAATATTTCAATACAATGTTCCCAGGTCCTAAAAACTCAGTAACTAACAGTCCAAATTCGAACAACCCCCCTTAATTATGCCCAAGCATTTTGCTAGTATTGCTAACACAACTTTCACAACCAGGCAATACTGAAAAAGTCTTTAGAACAACCTTGTTCTTGTAATCCTTGTCAGATACATAATCACAAGCCTCATATCTCACCTAAGGCCAGGTTAACCAAGATAAACTGCACGCTGTCTTAGGACTTACTGGACTAAACTCTTGAGGATGATGAAATTTATGAAATAGATGAATAATAAACGATGAACATTGGATGCCATTTATGGAATCATTTGGCTCACAGTGAGAAATAAGTGAGACCTATTAGTAACTTGAGTCCCTACTCACAAATTCAATCATGAAGAGATGTTCACTGAGACAAGTTGACTTTACTATCAGAATAGCACTCACTACATATATCAAGATACGAGTAAAAGTTGAAATGATACAACACAAAGTAGCACTAGGCCCTAACCAAGAAAGAAAAAGGGAAAGAAAAACTGATACTTGATTCATGAATTGAGAGGAAAATGGGAAAGTTGGAAGCAGACCATCCGTCAGCTTCAAGCAAAGAGGCGCCATGAAGTACATGTAACTTGCGAGGACATGGCCACTGAAGCATCTACTAATAACCTTGAACTGCATAATCATGATTTCTGCCGTGCTATGAGACTACTTTTACAGGATACCTGTCAATACAATCTTCCCAGGGACCCTTCTGAGAAGGCTTTACATTTCGTAATGCCTGCCAAACAGCACTATTACATTTAAAACCACTTCCAAATGCAATCTGCCAAACTTTGTTACCTTTCCGCATTCTTCCTTTGGCCTCTGTATACGCCAGTTCATACCAGATGGAGCTGGACGAAGTATTTCCAAAGCGGTGCAGTGTCATTCGAGATGCCTCAACATGAACCTGCGTCAGCTGCAAATTCTTTTCTAGCTCGTCAATAACGGCTCTTCCACCAGCATGTATGCAGAAATGATCAAAAGCCAACTTGAAATCTGGAATATAAGGCTTCACATGCTTATTGCATATTTTCTTAATTATCAGAGTAGCAAAGAACAGAAGCTGCTCGCTGATGGGTAGAACAAGAGGACCCAAGGTAGTGATATTCGTCTTAAGTGCTCCACCAGCGATTGCCATGAGATCTTTCGATAAAGATACCCCAGTTTTCCCAGCATCATCCTGTTCTTGGTAAACACAACGAAACGCCTTATCATCAGCCCCACGATGTGTCCTAACAACATGAACAAGCTTATATTTTGCTCTTCTTCTATCCACAGACTTGTTAGACAGCAGAACAGCTGCACCCCCGACTCTAAACAAACAA